TAAGATAATCTATTACTTCTGGCAAATACTTGACCCACTCTCTTATTAATTTAGGATTTTTAGATATTAATTCAATAGCATATTAGATTTTATAAAGCATCTCTGCTAACATCTTATTAAATCATTCTACAAGAGCTAATTCACGATGACTATAAGTACCAATTACTCAAATTGTGACATTATGCGCTTCCATTAATCGAGCAGTTTCACCCATGAATTCTTTACTACTGTCACATTGTAAAAGTGTCAGATACATAAGAGGATTATTGGGATTATCATAAATTTTCTTAAATGCTTTAGCAACTTTGGAACTATTCTTTGATGTTAGAGGAATACTTGCCTTGAACCTGCTACTCACATCTATAATTTATAATACTGCTTTCCATTTTTTATTTTTGTAATGATCATGTGTAAGAAATAAGAGGTCATACTGATGTACACAATTTGATTTTTGAATTTTATCATAACTAACCCATGGAGTATCTTTTGGTAATGGAGCATACTTTTACCATTCATTCTGGTTATGTAACTATTCACGAACTTTTTTATATGAGAAATTATATCCTTTATCTTTGATAGTATTATACAGTTTTCAAAAGTTAGAATGATAACCAGTAGGTTGATAGAAAAACAATTTACAGATTAAGTTTAATTTGTCATCTGCATCAATTCTAATAATAGGCTCGCTCAATCTACTCATTTTTTATATTACTTATTATAGCAAAATCAAGAGATAAGATAATATAATATGCTGTAAAAAATAGAAACAGAGTCTCATTACTTCATAATAACCATGGCATTTCATAGACCCTGATCCCCAATCAAACAACTTATAGATTAGCTACGAATAAAGAACTCGAGCTAGAACAAATTAACCAAGAACTCCAGAAGATATTACAATCAGAGGTAGCCATCAACAAATTGAATGAGAAATACATAAATGAGCTAGAGCGCAAATATACCAGATATGAGAATAAAATTCAATCCCTTAATAAAGAATTGGAACGGCTCAAAAATGCTTCAGAGGAAGAAAAGGCTGAGTTAAGATTGGAGATATTATCTCTTAAAAGAAGCTTATATCAAGCTAAAAAGGAAATCCGAGATAAGGTATCCTATATCAATAATATAGAAAAGCAATTACAAGAATCGGAAGAGCAGGTTCAAAATCTAAGACATAGATTCAAAGTTATTTCTTCTTGAAGAAGCTCTCCAAGTTTATATAATTCAGGAGAGAAAGATATAGATATGGCGAATCTTGACCTTTTTATACAAATCGAACAAGGCTTGTATCATATTGAAAAACATCTTAGAGGTGGTACACCATTAAATAATCCTATCAATATTATAGAAGGTATTAGAGGCTCCTTAAATACTGTTCAACATAATTATCAGTCTGCATATCAGGATATAGATGGTGTTATCACTCAACGAGATGATAGTAATAATCAGATAGTCCAGCTATAGCAGGATGTCAATTACTATAGATAACAAAATGCTGACCTTCAGAACCAAACCAATCAACTTATTCAAGTATGAGATATCTTGCAAAATCATGTTAACTGACTTATACTAGAGCGTAATAATTCTCAAAATAATCTTGCTTTAATGACTATAACTTATAATAATAAGCAGACAGAATGTTGTAGATGGAGGAGGATCGCTCAGCAATTTGAAAGAGAAATGCAGATGCAAATTAATATTTTATTACTTGAAAAATTTATACTTAATTTTAAATTCTGGAGATCCCAAAGACATGGTAGAGAATTACAATAAAAATATGATATGCAGGGATATTTATGGTATAATATTACTTTGATATTAGAAGAGCAATTTAAACTCAGATATGCTTTTGAAATTATTTTTAAGGTATTCATTTATTGCTTAGAACAGGAGCTATAATAATATCAAGGTGATAAAGGTTTATTAGAATATAATTGAGATTGACTTTTTAATAGATATTACAATAAATTCAAGGATCAGAAGGTAAGTCATATCAAGTAAAAAAATAGGGAGCACAATTTCCAGCAATTAATTTTGAATTTAAATTAACAAATATTTGTGCTTTAGAATAATTTACCTATAAATAATCAATATAGAGAAATGGCAGGATACGCACCATCCCTATTTTACGGAAAAGCCAGAGAAGATCCTGAAGAATGAATTAGAGATTTTATATAATATTGTGAAGTATCCGGACTTGATTCACTAGTAAATATTTGAACCAGAGTAAGAATTCACGGACTTTTTGAGACTTGTTTAAGAAAAGATGTAAAAGATTTTTATGAAACTCATCTCAAGAATAAAAATTGAGAATTACAAAATATTAGTGATAATACGGGCCTTGCAGATCTTGGAGTTATTAATGGATTAGCTAATAATAATGCATTATGTAATATCAATACTAATTAGTTTAAAGACAGAGCTCTTCAAATAAGAAATACAGTTTCAGCTGACAACAATGCAATTGCCATACCATTGGTGCTGATACATACTGTTTTCGATAAGGATTGGTCAATAGCTAGTGGACAGCCAACAGATTTAGCTCCCAATGCTCCCAATGCTAATGCAGAAGGTAATACTATTGCCCCTGATATTCGTATTGGACAAGTAATATACTAGTTCAAAACAAATTATTTAATAATTACTGTTGAAAAATCAAAAGTTGTATTTAATAATATTACTCAAGGAACTGATTTTATAGGCCGATTCTATGCATAATTAAAAAAAATGATTATACTTGCTTATCCAGCACTCCCAGTATTAAATCGGAAAGAAATGATTAGACAGTAATTCTTTCAAGGTCTTTCCCCTAACAATAAATTAGAAGTAAGACATATTGATCTTGAAAATCTAATTTCCACTTTATTACCAAAATTAGAACAAATTGAAAGACAGAAAGCTGAATTGATGTTAGATCAGTATGATCCTAATTCTCATCCAGTCACTTCTCATTCACAATCTATAGCTAATATAAAAGATTCTTATATAACAAACAATACAAGTATGACCAAAGAAGAAATTGAAAATTTGGTGAAAGGTATTATGGCATCTTCACTATCTTAACCCATCTCACAAACTATCTCTTCCAAACCTCAGGAGAAGCAGATCACATTTTCTCAAGATGAATTCAAAAAAATTATAGTGAGTTTAAAGGGAACTATTGCTAAAGGACAGCAAACTTTGAAGAAACCCCCTGGACCAGGAAAACAAAAAGCTGATAAACTTGCTATAAACTGTTTTTTAGATAGTATTTCTGATAATACAGGTTTACCAGGAGATGATTATGATTATGACCTGGTTGAAGATCTGAGATTATAATTTGAGGAGTTGGATATTAATCAAGCAAAATTAGCTTGATTAATACATTCAGTTTTAAAGTTATCCCGATACAGATGTTCAAAGTGTGATAAAATAAGTCATAATTCTCACAACTGTCTTAAAAATAAAAAGAAAAGCAAGTCTAGATGTTCTAACAAGAACAAATCTGGCCATTCTAACAAGTGTAAGTCCAAGAAAAAAGGCAGTATCAATATTATTACTGTAGATTCAGATTCTGACTCTGATTCTAATACTAACTCTTTAGATAATGAATTTAATTCTGACTCTGAGTCTGGATTTGTTTCTGATTCTGAATCAGAATCTGATTCTGAGAATAACTTTACTGAGGATGACATTGTGAAAATTATAAATGCTGTCAATGCTGTTAAATCAAAAAAAAAAAGTAAAGTGAAAGAGTAAATTATTCTCTAAAAAAAAGTCTAGTCCAAAGAAGAAACAGAGTCTTGAATCTCCGATTCAACATACTTCACAAAAGAAATCAGATACGATTATCGACTCACAAATTCAAAAAATTATTCTAGCTATATTTAATAATCCAGAGGTTATAGAAACAATTAAAAATAATATTAATAATATGAATTTATTTATGACTCGAAGAGTCACTTCTGAAGAGCTTGCAAAACCTGACTTTATAAATTTTCGAGAGCCAGCCCCAGAAATACCCATATCAGATGATGAAGAGAAGACGCTAAATGATCTTATAGAGATTGATTTTGTCCATCAGAAAGAACTGGTAATTAGTATTGCAACTATATCAGTTAAAATTAAATGCTTAAAAATTCCAGTATTGGTACTAGATAGTGGTGCTGAACTTGCAATTATATCAGAAGATATTATTAAATGTATAGGCAAGAAAATAGATAGATTGGAAAAATATGATCTTAGTGGTATTACTACTATTCCAATGGAATCTATCGGCATTACTCATAATTTATCAATAATATTTTCTCCAGATTTTACTATATGTGAAGATTTTATAGTTATACGCATTCTTAAATCAACATTAATATTCCCAAACCCGCTTCTCAAAAAATATAAATGTGCTGTAGATTGGGATAATGATAAAATAAAAATTTATTATAATGGAGAAGATTTTATTATTCTGATTACTATGCACAAAGTCAAGAATAAACTTGAAGTAAATTGTGCTATCACATCTCAGAATGATAAGCCTTTGATATCTGATCAACTTTCTCAAGAGACAGATAGTGATAAGAATAACAACGTACCATTAGAAGAATGGCATGCTCCTGTGGATTTCAGTCCAGATTCTGATGATCTGTCATTAAAAAAAAATGCATGAGTTATGAGGAGTTAAAAAAATCACTATATGAGATACTCGAATCTAATACTGAATTAATTGAGCTTAATAAAAAACTATGAGCTTATAACAAATCTGATATTAAAACAGTATGTAAGCTCGAAGAGCCATTGCTCTGCAATAGATTGCAAACTACTTTAGAAAAAACAAAAATAGATTAGTTGGAATCTAAGATCCTTTTCATCTCACATTTAGCTTCTTCCCTTTCTTTACAATTTTGTGCAAGCTTAACTTGTAAGTCATCCATTTTATCTATTTTTTTTATCAGAATATCAGTTATACCAACTTTATTAGCTGAAAAGCTAGCCTCTGTCCTAATAATATTAACTAAATCAGATACTCAAACAGATCTAGAGCTGGATCCTGGTTTTCTTTTCTTTGACTTTTTATCTGAAATATTATTTTCAGATATTATCTCAGAAGAAACAACACTATGTATTCATTGCTGTTTGCACAAGGGTATACCTTCAGCATATCTTTTCCAAATTTCATATATTCTACGAGTTGAAGTATTATATCTATTAGCCATTTTCCTGCATGCATTTTTAACTGTCCCTTGAGATTGAATAATTTCCTCAATAGCTTCTGGTGATAAATAAGGAGTACCAGCATGATAATATTCTACAGTTATATGTTCCATCCTTTTTATAATTATAAAAAATTATCGAAAATTATTGAAAATTATTGGAAATTATTGGAAATTATTAGAAATGCTAAAATACATCTATATCTCTTATGTTAAAAAATGACCAGTAATTATAGGTAATTACATACTTAATATTCAATAATTTTCTAAAAAAATTGGTAATTATCTATTATTGTTGAATTATATTGAAGCGTAATTTTTTTGATAGCATTATCGATAAGTATATATGTATTTCATATTTTGCTATTTTTCATAATATTTCTTTTTATTTAATATGGCCAATGTAATAGACCTTAAAAAAGAATTATATAATGCCCTCCAAGATTCTTCTGAAATAGTTTCATATAATGCTAAATTGCGGGATAAGTATGAAAAACAAGAAAAAAAAAATTAATTGAGAGAGAGAACAATAGGATCGGGATAAAAAGAAGTGGAATAAAAAACTAGGAGGGGCTAATACCGAGATCTAGAAATTACGTACTTATGATCTCAAACTTATTAAAGAGATCAGATGTCTACAGATTGAAAATGCTCACAAAGATATATCTCTTGCGAAATCCAAGGCTAAGCATATTACAAAATTAGGGGAGATTAAATCACTTTGGAATGAGATGAAATTATTGAAAGATAAGTTAGATTTATCTCAGAAGGACTCATCAAAGAAAGGGTCCAAAATCAAGTCTCTCAAGTCTAAGATAGTTGAATTAGCTTTAAAAATTAGTGAATTGGAATATCTGAAATCTGAAGATATATCAGGATCTATAATTGGTGGAGATGATAAGGGGTAGAGCTCCATGACTCGAAGAGTTACTCTAAAGGAGCTTGTTTTCATAATAAAAAATATGCAGAGCAAGAAACAAAGTTCTATATCGAATTCTAGTAAGGACATAATCCCGTTGCAAAGCAATAATATTTCTACTGTTAGTGATTCTAGCCACTCTGTGTCTGCCTCCAGCAATAAAAATCTCAATAAATATTTTGTACACAGAAAAAATATGCTGTGCGAGGAACAAAGTTCCATGGATCCAATAGAAAAAATTGATGGTGAGATTATAGAACTACCAAAAAATGATACTGAGATCAACCCCAAGATAAGCGATAAAACTAGCATTAGTGAAATTAGTGCTGAACCGCATATGTCCTTTTTGATTAAATTGAATATTCAGATAAGATCTAGTCTCAAGGCTTTACCTCTTTCTGCTGTGGCAAGCACTTTAATATCACCGCTATCAGCATATATTTTTCTTACTTTGTTAATTATTGCAATTGTGTGATTTGTGAGATGCACATGGAATATAGATAGGCTCAAAGTGCTATTGCTTCACAGGTCTGAAGGAGCAACTCTAGGCTCAAAGAGCCATTTCTTTGAAATAAAGGGTCATAAAAAAAGTGATCGATTACAGGATATGTAGTCAGATAACCAAGTATTAGAATTTAACTGAATATTTCAATATTTATATACTGACTCATATTGAAATAATCTTACCATACATATAATGTGCCCTCTCTATTCTATCAATAATATTATTACTCAACATATAATATTCTAATTCTTGCAGTCTTTTAATAATTCCAAATAACTTACTATTCAAAAAATTTATTCTTACATAAGGGTTTTCGATTTTCAGATTAGCCTCACCAATCTATCAGGCATATTCTTCTCTAGCTTCTTCTAATTCTGAATCTAATTCCCAAAATATATATTCAAGTTTTTCTTGTCTTATAAAGAACTCACGTTTTACTTTCTTATTCCATATTTGATTGATATGAAGGCATTTTACAAGATCTTTTGGTGCTAGATTTTTGATAATATGCATTATTAACTCTGGCTGGTCAAACAGATTATAGGTATGGTACATTAAGTTTGATTTATATTTTATATTCTCTGATTTATCTTCAAAGAAGGTTCTACTAAAGTATATAAAAAAGTTATTAATGAGAATTAGTGATATATGTAGATTGGATAAGCTGATATAATCTCACCTTTATTACTCAATTTTAGATATTTTAGTTAAATATACCTTGGGGTATCACTTTTTTTTCAAACTTGAGAGAAAAAAAGAAAAAAGAGCATGAGAATATAGATGAGGTTGCTTTTCTGGAATATAAGTGAAATTTTGAAGCTAAAATGAAAGTTCCTACTACTCCGTACAAAAAAGAATTAAAAAATAAATCTCTAGCAATTATTGAATATACATAATCATTATAAATCTTTTAATAAAGCAAGCATAAGATACTAAGATAATATCATCTAGTTTTAGTAGTAATTTCTGAAGCAGAGAGATTGCTACATTTAACTAGTTATTCATCTCAGGTAGGGGGTTTTTGTTACCTCTTACAATAAGTATGAGAAAAAATTCAAATCAAAAATTAATACTTTAATATCTAGATTATAAAGTTCTAAAATAAAAGTGATCACATTCCAAAAAAAATACGCATATAATATACGTATTAGGAGTCAATAACCATTTTTGTATTGTCTATTTTAGGTATCAATAAAAATGATACTTCAAGATATCAAAAAAAATGATACTCCAAAGTTTTTAAATTAGCAATATTCCAGGTTTCATTTTCTGGTTATAAATAGTATTCACGTTTTTTGATATATGTTTGATAATAATATCTTAAAGTTTTCGATATAATGATATCCCAAAGTTTTTAATATAGTATTATTCCAAAATTTCGATATAGGGATATCCTAAAGTTTTTGATATAATGATATCTCAAAGTTTTCGATATAGTATTATTCCAAAATTTCGATATAGGGATATCCCAAAGTTTTCAATATAATGATATTTTGAAATATATAAAAAGTACAATTTAGGTATTAATATAAGCTAGCTAAATCTGAAAAAAGATAATATTCCAAGATATAATTATTATAGAAAGATATATAATATATAAAATTATACTTTGGAATTACATATAAATAGGTATTAAAAAAAAGTGATACCCCAAGGTATAATTATTATAAAAAGATATATAATATATAAAATTATACTTTGGAATATCAACAGATATGTTAACAATTCGGTACTACGTATCTCATTATTAGATGCTTTGATATTATTACCAGATATACTAACAATTCGGTACTATGTGTCTTATTCTTGATTGATACTCGAGTACATTATAATAGTTAGCAATTTGGTACTACGTGCCTCATTCTCGATCAATATTTGAATGTATTATAATAGTTAGCAATTCGGCACTACGTGTCTCATTATTGGATACTTTGGTATAATACCAAATATGTTAACAATTTAATACTACATACCTCATTCTTGATCGATATTCAAATGTATCATATAAAGCCAGAATACGAATACTATTTTGGCACTACATGCCTCAAACCTGGCCCTTATCGAGAAATTAACCAGAAAGCTAGGGTACTATGTGTCAAGTTCGGGCATAGCCCTCATATTAGATCTGCAAATGATGACATGTGACTGAATGCATCATCAGCTCAGCAATAGAAATCAGATGACACTGACGATGATATCATATTTTTGTCATCAAAAATGTGTCATAAAAATTATATCATGACACTGACGATGATGTTATATTTTTATTATCAAAAATGTGTCATAAAATATATATCATGACACTGATGATGGTATTGCATTTTTATCATCATAACACTGATGACAGTGTCACATTTCTGTTATCACGACACATACCTGGGATGGTTATAGTCTGAACTAAGTGGTATAATTATAGTTTATATAGACTATAATTATACCACTTACTGTAAGTAATATATTCACTCAATAATTCTTAAAGAAGATAAATTAAAAAATTCAAAGATCTTATACAATAAATCTAATTAATATTAATAAAAAAAGTGTTTAAAGAAGTAATTGACTTATCAGTTATTTTAGAAACTAAATTAATTAAGATTAAAGTATTAGTGATTATGAATGATAATTATGATCTTATACTAGAAAATAATTAGACTTATACTTATAAAGTAATTATAAGCTAGATTAAAGACTTATTATAGTTTGAAATCAAAAGAATTAAATTAAAATATCTATCACATATTTAGAAAAATATCATAAAATTGAAGAAGAAAATAATCTATATAATATTGATAAAGAAATAGAACTTAAAAGTTTTTAATAATAATAGTAAAGAAAAAATATCAGAATATAATTATGAGATAGATATTAACTTTAATCTGAAATACTCAGAATTAGAAAATCTTATTATTTTATCACAAGAAACTGTAATGATAGATTCATATATTACAATTAAAGTATTAAAAGAAATATTTTATCAACTTACTTCTAGATCTTCTTTAGCTTATAAAGAAATAAAAGTAAAAATTGATACTTTAGATACTGGATATATTAAAAATATTAAAATATTGATTCATAATAATTCTAATTAATCATATATTATATAGTCTAATAAGAAAATAGCTTAAGCAATATTTTTACCATTAATAAAAATTATAAAAATTCAATTAATATCAGTTCATGAAAAACTTGATATAGTAAATCCTTCATAAATACATCCTCTATAAATACATACTCTCCATAAATGTATACTATCTTTTATTTTTAAACTTGAGAATTAGATATAAATACATATTCTCCATATTTTATACTGCATAGTTTTTTGAATCTTTATCATAAATAAATCTCTCTTTCTAAATGCATACTCATAACTTTCATATGATATTTATAGTGTTATATCAAGAAATTATATCAAATTTGTACTTATAATTATAGATAAAGATCTAAATAAAGAAATTATTATGTATATGATTATAAATAAAGACTGAATAAAAAAGTCAATCATCATATTCTAACTTATTATCATGTTTTTATGATATACTTATATCTCTTGATCTTTCTGATACTATATCAATTGAAGAATTTTTAGATAATTCTGAAGAACAGAAGGTTTATATAATTTTTGATGATAAAGAACTTGTAGAATTATATAGAAAGCAGTCAGATTTATCTACTAATAGTAATAGTAAGAAA